TAGTAAAAAACATATAGTAAATCCCCACTATTTACTATGCTTTTTTATAGTTCTCTGGCGGATTACGAATTAATTATTTTATCAATTGATTAATTGATTAATTTATTAGTTGTTTAGTAAATAATTAATATAATTTAATATTTCAGATAAATTATAGTTATGGTATGGGTATATAGTGAATAACCCAATTACATATACGGGTTTATATTCGGTGGTGAAGGTACGGATTTAAATATGAACCCGTGTATATAACTGGGTTATTTACTACATAGACATACAATAACTGATGTAACAATACCGTGACAATAAGGAAATGAAAAAAGCATGGGTTGTTAGATAAAACCCATGCAATGATAAAGAAATATTTGGGTAAGTTAAATGCGAACTCAAGTTTAAATTAATATAATAATAGTTTTGAATATTTTATTTAATATTAAGGATAGCTTGTTAGTTAATCGATGAATTAATAAGATGGGTAATTTAATAAGATAGATATATAAAGATAAGTTCTAAGTAAGGTGTAGGTAAGTTTTGAATTATGCTAAATACCTGGTGTTGTTTTTTTTTGAAAAAGGGGGCAGCGGTTCTGAGAAAAGAGGGATTGTGGTTGTTTTTGATTCGTCAATAATAAGGCGATCGTTGTAGGCAGTGCTAGAGATCTGAATTTTTTTTTTGTTCTTTGAGAACATAAATTTTAAATTTTAGGTTCTCAAAGATTTTTAATGTTCTCAAAAGTTTTTAGATATAATAAAATTTACAAATTTTATGTTCTCAAATGAGAACATAATTTTCAAAAATTGTGTTCTCAAAAATATTTTAATGTTCTTGAGAACACTGAGAACATTAGATCTCTAACACTGGTTGTAGGAGCTTTCAGCGATAAGATCGGCTCTTGTAGGGTGATATTGACGATTAACTGATCGAGTAGATAGCAAGCGATGTTGGTTTTGAAAATGATGCTTTTTTTCAAGGGTTAGGTAAGACCAATGTGGCCAATACCAGTGTAAACGAAAACGTGGATCTGGGCATAACATTCTCAATTTAATATATTTGCCGTAGGAGTCGATTGAGGGTTGAAGATTTAGGCGTCGTTTCATGTCTTCATAGTGACCTCTACCATTAGGAAATAGGTCAGGAAAAATAAGTGCTTCTAGATCCGGATTGTTAAAAAGAACAGGAAGGTGTGTATTGTTATTAGTCGGTAATGAAGCAGCAATTAAACGGGTATAGTGAGTATCTTGGTCATGTATTTCACGATTAAACGAATGGTTTGGAACTACTAAGTCAGGAGGATGTGGTGTTTCATTAGGAAGAGCACTACGACGGAGATTATGAGAAGAGTGATTGTCGAGAGATTGTCTTGCTAAAGGTAAGGGGACAGGAACGGGAGAAGTTGGAGTCGGGGGTGTAGTTATTAAGTCAGAGTGATATTTTTTAATTAGAAGATTATTTTGTTTTAACCATTCAGAAGCTGGAATTAAAGAGGGATGAAACCAAGATGGAGGTTCATTGGTATTAAGGTAAGCACCAATGGAGCCTGAGTATATTTGTAAAGATCTATAATTATGAGTTAGGCCTATTGATCCTTCGAGATGTCGATAGTTGGTGTAATGGTTTGTTCCAGGTGAGCGACCTAATGAACAATTCATATGAACTGGTGAGAGATATTTTTTGTGTACCATTGGGACATTATGAATTTCACGTGGGATAGGTGTTAATATAGGAGGATAGCGCCTAGTGGACTATTTTTTACATCCACAGCAGACTGCGATTTGGGTAGTGTTTCGATTATTTATCCGAGTATGTACGGGGATGTTGAAGATATAAGATAGGGGATAGTCATCAGTTTGATTATAAGGAATCCACTGAGCTGAAGATTTCATCATGAGCATTGAACAGTAGGCACATGGAATCGAAGGGTAGTCATTTAATATTTTTGTTTGAAATTTTATTAGAAGGCTGTGAAGATCCGGTCATTGAGAAAGTGAAATGACTTGATGGTTTAAAGGTGAGGCAGATAAGAAGCGTGTATTATCAGGAGCTGGAGCATTTGATAGATTCTGATTTATTTCAGATCTATAGAGGTAAGAATGAAATGAATGAGTATCTTGAGAGTCGTTGAGTGAGTTCGTAGTGGAAAGATTATTTGAATCAAAGGTAATTATTGGGAAAGTATGAATTTCGTAATTGGGTATAATGAAGAGTGATTTTATTATATAAAATATAGTTAAGAAAAATAGTAGATTTGAGAGAATTTGGAGAAAGAAGTAGGATATTGAGTCTATTTATATTGAATCAAGCGGATTTTTTTTTTTTTTGATATATTTTTAGATTTTAAGTACATGGATGAGATATATATAGAGGATATTATAGATTGGAATAGAGTATAAAGTAGTAAGTTTTTTTTGATTTTATTAGTAATTTAAGTTATTAATTAAACAGAGAGGCATGCAAGTAGTTAAAATTTATTAGTACTAAAAAATTTATTATAAGGTAGAATAAAGCATTTTTATTTTAACTTAAATGCGAATTTATAGCAAAATAAGTATTTATTTATATAATAAAAGTAAATTTTAGGAGTATTTATTTAATAAGAAAGATACAAAAATAGAATACGTATTAAGATTTTAAAAAAATTAAATTTTGGAAAGTATATATCACGGCTAAATAAAATTAGAGCTTTTTGAAGAAAAAAAAACTCCCATAAGGCAAAAGAAGATAGGTATATGGAATTTATTTAGTTTTTATCTGAAGATTCATTGGGAGGGTTTTGTGGTTCAGGGGCAGTGTTTCGAATTTGCTCTGCAAGTTCTTTAAGATCTACATTTTGGAGTTTATCGGTAGAGGATTTGGAAGAGGAAGAAAAGAGGCCAACTCTTCTTCTTTTATTAGAGGTTTGAGAGGTCATTGTATTGTATTGTTCTTCAATTAAATCAAGTTGATCATTAAATTCTTTAGATTTTGTTTTTTCAGCGGAAGATTGGTTTGATGATTTCGGGTCATTCGCGGCATAACTCCACTCGATTTCCGAGGAAATTATATGAGGGATCTTACTATTAGAGTTGAGTTTCAATCTTCCAACAGCGGAGATGACACTTTTTTTTAAACTATCTTTGAGAGAATCGTATCTACCATTGGCGTTGGTGTAAGATACGATTACATCAGATTCAATACCTTTTTGGCTAGTTACAGGGTTGTAAAGTTTTTTTGACAACATAAAACTTTGTCTTCCAATAGTATCATTAAATTTGTATGAATTAGTAACAGCAGGAGCAGTATAAAGCAAGAGTGAAAAGGCATACGGAAGGTCTTCTGGAGCACAAGTAGAATCATGTTGAGGGGAAGAAAGCGGTATAGTTTGAATAAGACTGAGCTTAAAAAGAAAAGTAAGTTAAATTTTATAAATGCGATAGTAATAAATGGGTAAAAGAAATAAATATACATATTCAACATTTTGATGATAGACGTATCTTCCTATCATGTGTACGATAGAATTTTTTTCAAAATCAATTATCAAAGTTTCAGAATTTCCAGTAAAACCTTTATAGGTTAGTTCTCTAAATTCATCCTCAGTACTATTTGCACGATATACTGCAGTTCCAGTTAAGAATTTGTCATTTCCGCTAATAGTTTTAACGAAGCAAAAGGCAATGAATACGGAAGACATAGTTTGAAAAGAAATAGAGGAGCAAAAAATGAGGTGAGATAATATTTTGATTATATTTGCTTAAAATATGAAAATATTTTAAAAAAGATATTTAGGTTTGTTTTTTTTCTCGCATCAAATAGAGATTTTATATTGTTTGTCGAGCGGTAAAGTGAGAAAAATAGAGATAGTGGCTTATAAAGAGATAAAGTTTAAGAAACTTGTTATTTGATTTATTCGTAGCTCATTCTCCACCTTTTTTTTTTTGTTATCAATTTTATCTCTTGATTTTTTATTTATTTGGTATTTTTTAATTAATAAGCGATGATTTTTTATTTCTAGATATCATCGCAAAATATAGACATACAATAGATCGGGAAGTATTATTGTTAGTTACATTTTAGATCTAACACGGATGAAAGATCGATAGTCTCATATATAGAATTTCACAATGAAGTAGGATCAAACAAAGATAGATAAGATTTAATTTTTATTATTAGATTATATGATAAAATTTTATTTCTTGAATTTTGGAATATTCTATGACAGTTTTTTTTTTTTTAGAATTCGAAATTATTTTATTATAACAATAAGATCGATTTTTTTTTTTTGTAATTATATGGTAATATAGTAATGTGAATCATTTTTTTTATTATTTTATAACAATAATTCTTTTGGGGATAGACAAGATTGTTCTCGTTTTGAAGTGATATATTAATTTTTTAAGTAATTGATATAGAGATACGATTTGTAAAGTGATAGAAGCATAAGAGCGAATATCATTCATCATACGAGTGTTGGCAACAGAAACCTGTCATCGGGAATTCAATGTTTAGGTGGCTTTGTGTATGTTATCTATGGGTAATCTATTTTCGATGATAAATTTAGCATATAGGATTGAAAGTCCGATGATGGGTTTATATTGATAGCAATCAGAAAATATTATTTATAATCATTATATTATAGATGGGGTTGTATGATACGAATTTAGATCTTCAAAAGCTTATATGCGATATAATGTTCGTGATATAGACTTGGGAGTGGGATTTATCTTAAGTAATTTTTTGATGATATTAATACGATCTATTTCAATTATACGGTAATAAAAAGCATTTATTTATTATGATGATGAAAATTGATAATAAATTATTATTGGGACAGATAAGATCGTTATTGTTTTTGAAGTGATATACTAATTTTTTAAGTAATTAATTTAGAGACATAATTGTAAAGTGATAGAAATACAAGAACGAATATTATCTATCATACGAGTGAGACCAATAGAAACTTGACATTGGGATTTCAATGTTTAGTTGGATTTCTGCATACTATCTACGGGTAATCTATTTTGATTGTAAATTATACATCGAGATTGAAAGTCCGATGATAGATTTATATTGATGGAAAAAGGAAATATTAATTATGATGTTGGGATTTCATTTTTTTTTAATATAATTCTTATATTGTAGATAGAATTGTATTTTGAATTCAGATTTTTAAAAGTTTATTATTATTATATGTAATAATATAACGTTTATGATATACATTATGTGAAGGTTTCCATTTTCGGGTAATTTTTTAATCTAAAATTTTAGGTTAAACCATTTTTGGTTAGAATTAGATCATATAATATTGATACAATTTGTAATATGGTAATGTGAATCTAATAAATTTGTTGGGAATAGATAAGATATTTATTATTTGAAGCAAACATACTAATTTTTTAAACAATTTAATATAGAGATATAATCGTAAAGTGATGGAAATATAAGAGCAAATACTATCTATTACACAAGCATTGGCAATATAAAAAATGAGCGCTGTCAAAAGAAAACCTGTCATCGGTCTTTCAATTATATTTTGTGTACAGGTAACCATTTATGGAAATCTATTATAATGATAGATTTTCCATAGATGACCAACTGTACACAAAATATAATTTAATGTCCGATGATATTGACAGCGGTATTGGGTTTGGCTTTCAATGTTTAGCTTGTTTTCTGTATGTTATCTACGGGCAATCTACTCTGATGATAGATCGTCTATAAAATTTTTGTAAGTCCCGATAATAGGACTTATTATATAGTACAATCATTCTATTGCCGATTATTAGATCACATGATATGAATTTTCAGATTGTTAAATATTTTTTATATGCGATATAATATAGGTAATTTATTGATTTAATATTTCAGGCTAAAATTATTATAGGATTTCATAATTATCCAATTAGCTAATAAAATTTTTTATTAAAAAGAAATTTTATATTCTAAAAGCAGCAATAAAGTAGATTAAGGTTATTTAAAAAAAAGAAACTTACTAAGCTATTTAACTATTTAACTGTCATAGCGTAAAGATAATAAAAAATTAATAAATAGTGACAAGAGGATAATTTTTTTATTTAAGTTATTTTTTATTTATTATCATTATTAATAAATTATTATTATTATTATTAAAATCAATAAAACAAATACCTAAAAGTATAATTCATTTATCATTGTTATTTAGAAAAAAACCGGTACATACAAATTTGAGATAATAGATAATAAAATGTTGTACAGATAATGTATTTAGTAAAGATCCAGTTGAAAGAATGAATTTTTTTTTTTTTCTTATAAATACGATGGTTATTCACAGCGGAGTAAAAATCGAAGCGCATGGATCAAGATCAAGATCTTGAGTAAGATAGGGAATTGGAAATAGTAATCAAGAATAGAGATCATAGATCAATATGCTATTATACTAAACGCTTTCAAATTCGTGACACCTACATTTCCTTTTATACACTTTTTTTCGCTAAAAGTGGATAGCGATCGTAGCTTAAAAAAGAACAATTCTTGTTTCGAATAGTGATAAATAGTGATAACTGGTAGCACTAAAATGACAGAGGCTTGGGGGGAGAGGTAATTTATAATGTAGATCACTATATAAATTTTATTTTTTTACAAGTTAAACAAGGATATATTGAATTCCACCAAACAAATTTGGTAATTTTTTTTTATTCTGATTCTACGAGTATGCTGAATAAAGCAAAAAAAGTTCATCGAATTTGGTTTGGTGGTTGTCAAGATATCTGCAAATTCTACTGGTGTGAATTATGATTTTAAATGAAGTTATCTCAACAATTACCAAACAAATACAATGAATTTTTTTAGGGGAATTTACATATAGATATCCGGAAAGTGAAAATAATTACAAATAAGTGCCCGGACTAAAAATAATTACATATAAGTGCCTGATATTTAAAAAATA